AGGGAATCCAGATTCCAAATTTTAAAACTGTGGTTCAAATTACCATAAAGTAGCACAGTCCAACTTTCAGGTAAGATGAAGCACATTTACTATCATATCACTCAGATTTGTTTTTCAAAATCAATGTCTTTTGAAATTTCCAATGTGAAAGCCTTCAAAAGAGTGTGGAAGAACTGCAATATTTACTGACTTTTATAAAGTATTTTAAACTTCTGTTAAAATACTTTATAAATGTTTTATTTGCAGCAAGGTAAGTCTTTTTGCAGTCTTTTTGTATCCGTTTGGATTCCTATGCGTGCACATTTACTGGAAACAGTTGCCCTGAACACTTCTGATTTTATAGAACCTTTGATAATTACTTCACAAAGAATAAATAGAAAACCTGTGAGACTGTTTTATAGATTATGAATGCCTATATTCTACCTAATCCTGCCTCACAGTGCCATCATCAACACATTCTGTTGGGTTTATCAAGAACTGACTTGTGTCATAGGACACACAATGTGATGTCAAAATTATAAAAAGTGCATATGGTTGTAGGGATGAGCAATTAATGTCCCATGGGGCTACATGAGAAAATGGGGCTGCTATGAAGAGTTGCTTGAGTAAGCTGAACTCTGTTCTGCGCATTATTACGTTTATCCTTTATAAGTTTATTCGTGTGGCCTTGCACAGCAGTTATGTAACACTTGGGGAAAATCAATTGCTGAGCCCTGTTGGCACTGCAGAAGTTACATTTTTACGTTTATATTTTACAGGCAATTATTGTAAGGCGCACTTAAAATCCTTTAGTTTTCTCGAAAATGACAGCGCACCTTATAATCTGGTGCGCCTTATATGAATTAATTCTGGTTAACGTGTTATCCGTGGATATCTGCATTTTACCATTCCTCTTTCAGATGCTGCCTTTAGTAGTCACCACAGCAGACCATTTCCCTCCAGCTCACCCTGTCCTCTGCATCCTCCTCCGTCACACCAGGCCTCTGCATGTCCTTCTCACTACATCTATGAACCCCACATTTCTCTTTTCCTCCTGCCTGACAGCTCCATATTCACCTTTGTTTGTCTAATACATCCACTGTCCTCCCCCTTTGTGGACCTTAGTTTGCCCACTGGTGTGCAGTCATGTTGGAACAGGAAGGGGCCATCTCCAAATTATTCCCAGAAGGTTGGGAGCAGGAAATTGTCAAAATGTCTTTGGATGCTGAATTATTACGATTTCCTTTCACTCGACTTAAGTGGCTGAGCCCTGAAAAACAGCTCCACACCATAATCCTCCCTTTTCCTAACTTTACACTTGGCACAACACAATCAGACAAGTACCACTGTCCTGGCAACCGCCAAATACATCCATTGGATTGCCAGGTGGAGAAGTGTGATTTATGACTCCAGAAAGACATCCCCACTGCTCTAGAGTCCAGCGGTGGTGTGCTTTACTGTACTTTGCGTTCACTTTGCCTATGCTGAGTGTGTGAAGAGTTTTTAAAACAAAAATTAATTATAAGAATTTTGTAGCAAGAAAGATCTAAGGGTGTTTTTTTTAAGAAGTTTTCTAGGAAAAAGGGTGTAGCCATGGGTAGGATCAACATCCTCAGGAAATCCTGTTATTTTCAAAAGCAGTCTGGATGTTTACATATTAAC